AGGTAACTATGTCTCACCGCATACTCATTTTAATGTTTCTTGTCTTACCGCAACCTTGAAACTCTTTTGAAGCAACACTTAAATGATCTGTGATGTATAGGAGGGGGGCAGAAAACGTAGCAAAAATCACAGACAAGCTGAAAAACTAAGGAGAGCGCTTAGGTAAAAAGGCCAGCCAGTAAACTGAAGCTTAAGGTTTATCTTATGCAATAACTAAAATTCCTTTCTAAAATTCCTTCATTTATTATAACACCTAACATTATTTAAGCTGTTAATATTGCATTCATATAAAAGTCTGAAAACTTGGGATGTGCATTTCTCTGCATCCCACTTACTTTGATTTCCTTAACAACAACAAATAAGCAAATTCCTTCAAAAGTCTCATTATTTGGGAATCCAGCTGCTTTCTTGTGCCTGTTTTTCTGGCCTCAGAGATGGTTTAGTAAAATAAACAGCATCATGAAGAACAAAGAAACAAGCAGACAGGTCAGGGAGGAAGTTCTAGAGAAGTTTGAAGAGTTAGGTTTTCAACCAAAGCTTAGAAATTCTACCAGAGCTCAGTTTGTACATATGGTCCAACTGCAAACCTTCCCCCAGCTCATCTAAAGGGGCAGCATTAATTAGACAAACCAAACAGCCAAGAAGTGATTCTGAGGGAGCTGCAGAGACCAAAAGCTCAGGTGGGGGAAAAAACTGTCATCACATTGCAAAATAATTTAATCTAAATAAATAATTTTTCTTAAAATAAGTGCTTTGTTTCTTGAACTTAGGTGGTAAGTAAGTCCTGCTTGATGTTATGCAAAGAAAAAAGCAGACATGTGAGAGAAAGAGCTCTGGTCAGAAAATACCAAAAGTGAACTTTTTGGCTCACATTATAAATGCTTCAATTAAACCTGATATCCTTTGTCCTCAGCCATGCTGTGAAGATCATTCTGGCCACAGGAGACCAAAGGCTATGGAGGACCAACTCTGACATATTTAAAATAAATAAATGCTCAATAAATAAATAAGCATACAATTAATTGCCCTAAAAAAATACAGTAAACAAATAAATGTACGTAGAAATGAAATTATACAGTGAAACATAAATGTATATATCTCTTTTGATTAGCTTCTTTATTTACTTGCCTTTGTCATAATTACCTTATTTATTTATTGTCCGTTATAGTCTTCAACTTTATTTATTTATAAATAAATAATATAAAATAAATAAAGAAGCTAATTAAAAGAGATATATACATTTATGTCTCACCGTATAATTTAATTTCTACCTTCATTTATTTGTTTATTGTATTTTTGGGGGCAATTAATTATATGCTTATTTATTTATTGTCCATTTATTTATTTATTTTTAAATATGGCAGACTTGGTCCTCCATATAGGACTGGGCCCAGACCTAAATGTAAAAGAGAATCCGTAGTGAGACTCAAAACTACTACGGTATATATTTTCGATCCAAACTCTTGAATTTGATCAAATAATTGGCAAATACTTCTAAGGATAAACACAATGTTTTCCCATCACTAAATGGTCAAATCAAAAATCTTGTTGATCTAACCTGACAGGGTCGAAAAAGTTAAAGAGATTGTAATATTTTGAAGAAGAAGCAGCTAATGACATTAGTAAGAATGATCTCAGCCTGGTTGCAGCTGAGACCCTAAGACAGGTAAACTGTGCAGATCTCCAGGGAATCTCCCAGAGTTCTCCTCATGTGCCCTTTTCAGGGATTTGGGAAAAGCCAAAAAGTGTCTGAGAAAAATCTCTCTCCTGCCTCCAACACAAACATACTAAAAATGCTTTGTTGACTCAAAGATGACATACAAAGGTAAAGAAATGCAAAAAGTTCCAAGCAGGATTTGGATGTGACATTTATATCCAAGCTTGTCCCTGAAAAACACACACACAAGTTCCACAGGTGGTTATTATAGATGCATTCAGACAAGACCAGGTAAGTTTACAACAGGTGAGCGTGGGCATAACATAGTAATCCGATTCTGGATTCCTGTTGTGTAAAAAGAAAGGACAAAACGATTGCTTTAAAAAGGCTTTAGGTATTTCGTTTTTTTTTTTTTTACAGGGGACATTTTTGTACCAAGTCATTTCAGGTCACCTCTAAAAAAAAATCACATGGTTTCTTCCCATGCCTGCTGCTGATGAGCTGTTTGACCAGTGTGGGAGAGACAAAACAAGGGAGTGTCATGATAGCACCTTCCAGCTAATCTCTCAATTACTACCTTACTGCTACTGTCAGACAAAAGACAACAGAAGCTTAGGCCTGTCACGCATGAATCCCTCCATGTGAGTGTGTGTTTGTCTGTCTCTGCTGTAATAGCTATGTGTGGTCTACGTAATCCTGCCCTTTGTTGTCTTTTTCTGTTGCAATTCATCAAGAAATCGCAGTCATGACTGGCAGATTGCAAAACATGAACCATCACGTCTCATTGAGAAAGCATGATACTGTAGTTATTTGGGTTGGAGGTTATGAATAACCCAGAGGACGAGCAGAGCTGAGAGGAATCTAAAGGTGAGGAACAATCTCCTTTAACTTGAAGGACAAAACTGTGATAAAAGTTCCTTTCAAAAAATAAATCCAGTCAGTTTGGCTGTTTTATGATATTTCTTCTTAGTCCCTGCAGCTCACTGAGGCTTGAGCTGAAACAGATGTCCTACTAAAGCACTAAGTTGGTTAACAGTTTTCAAATCAGGTTATGTATATTCCACTGACACAGAAAGACCAGGGATGTCACAGCAGTTGCTTGCTTTAGGCGTATAATGGCCAGGATTTACTGCTAAAGCGAGGGCTTCACATTGCAGCTCCCGGTGACTTAGGTGGGCTCTCTTCCGTAGCCTTGAGATTACAAACTGCATCAGTGCTTAGTTTCTAATCACTTTCAAATGTGGCTTTCCTCAATTCAAAAAACCCTGAACATAACAATTTATTGTCCAATTATTTTCTATTGAATGCATTATTTTATCTTAGTTTTATTTATTTATTTGCACTATTTGGTCTTTATGAGTCTTCAATTAGAGAAAATGTTACAATTGTTTTAAAAAAAGACATGCTTAGCTTTTACCTTTTCTGCATGCAATGCCTCAAAAGCACTCTTAGATCATAGGAGGCCCTAAACAGAAGCAAGGATGGTGCTTCCTTTCCAACCCAGCGGTTTTATCATAACTTTGACAATCCTAGATTCATAGTTTACAAAACATTCTGAGATTTAGCTTATTTATTGACATCTTTGCACCTCATGTGCAAATGTTGGTCAGATGGAGCAGAAATGATGTGTTGATTATGACTGATGGTAACCTAATTATTAATCCGTTAAGTGATCCTATTGTTGTTCATTAAACCTAATAAAAATGCTTAGATTGGGGATTTAAATAATTGATTTTTTAATTATAATATTGTTATATTCTTATATTATAATCTTGAAGGTATTTCAAAAGCAATCTAACTAAACACACACACACCCTAACCATTACCGACACATACCTATCCTTAAACCTAACCTAAACTCAATTCAAACTTTAGTCCTAAACCTAACCCCCACCCCAAGAAGAGAAACTTTCCTTATGGGGACCAGTTGTTGGTCCCCACAAGTACCTATGAGTCCCCAAAATGTAGCATATTCCTAGGAAATTGTCCCCACCAGGTATTAAAGACATGGCCACACACACACACACACACACATATATATATATATATATATATATATATATATATATAGAAAGGTATTGAGTTAAGAGGCTGAACACATACAGTGCTCGTGTCTTAATACCACTTTGTGTTGCTTTGTTACACAACTTCACAAAAAGTAGATGTCAAAAGAAATTGTTCACGTTGCGATAACAGGACTGTCAACAGTAGAAAGTCACAGCTAATTATAGGCTTTCATATTTTTATATAATACAAATCATATCCTTACCGTGATAAAACCCTCACAAGAGCATAATGATGAATTCAATCACGTCTATTAAAATCTAGATATTTTGAACTACAAGGAAACACTTTTGACCTTTTTCTCCCAAACATAATTTTATTTGAGCGATGGCATTTACTCAATCTAGACTATTCTTATTTAAGGTTTCTTTACTAAAGAAAAGAAAGTGTAGAAATGAGTAAACATGATTTTTTAAATGTCATGGGTTTCTTATTCTATTTTATTCTCTGGCACTTTCCTATTTTCTTGGTTATGAGTGGAAAAGGCTGCACAAACTTAACAGTGTGAAACCTGAAGGTAAAACTTTTTTAAATCTCTGAAACAAGGAAACATCCTTTGTATCCGATGTACAACCCTGTCATTTCAGACACAGAGCTCACAAAGGAACACATGGTCGTCCCTTCAGATAATTTTTTCATAGATGAGCCAGAGGTTCGGTCACAAGCATGCGGCAGAGCCAAACGAACCTGCTAATATGCCCAACATTTACAGATGATGACTCCCAGTTGCATGGACCTGTACAGCCTCGTCTTTTTTTCTCCTTTTGATCTCCCTTCTCCTTCTGCTGTTTTATTATCTCAATTTTTCTGCTATCTGTTTCCTTAAAGCTTGCTCTATTTTTGCAGTTTTAAATAAAATGAGGTCATCTAAGCAGCCCAATCTGTGATTAATGAGACAAGCAAAAGAAACTGAAGATGAGGAGAACAAATTTACTTTCCACTAAAAAGGTTTGGAAAATCAGTTTGTCTGCCAAGTGCATTTATTTGATTTGAACAGAGCATCTATGAAACAAATTCTTTTGGGAGCCTTTTTGTTCTTCCTCGAGAGGCATTCCCCAAACAACCTTTTGTCTTCTGTCCTGACAGCTCACAACTGTTTTCCTAACTTCTCTTAGTGAGTCATGTTTAAATCTTTATATAATATTGCCAAGGGTCACATCTCATAAGAATGACCACATGAAGTTCTTCACTGCTTACAAGAGATTTCAGCCTCTTCTAACCCAGCTTCCTATGCAGGATGGTGTAAAAAACAGTCAGAGTCTGACAGATACACCGAGAATATGCTGCTGATGATGCATTTATTAAAGACATAATGTTTCATTTACATATTAGCTATGAGCAGAAGGTAATTTTACCAAAACTTTATTTAACTTAAAGAAAAATACATGAGAAAGAAAAATCTGTTGAATAAAAGGAACTTTTTGAACAGAAATGCTTTTTGCACAAATATCCAAGCTTTTGCCTATTATTACACTGCCACCTTCTGGTAAGTCAGAATAATATGCTCAGAATTAAACATTAAATAAAGCCTTAGCAAGTTGGTTTTATTCAGAGTTGCAGAAAGACGAGCGGTAATTTTACACCTTGCAATAAAGCAATAAAACTGTTCATTAAGGATGCAGATCGGCTGTATCCTCCTGTTCCAGACTGATGACTGTACGGATACTAGAGGGACAAATCAAGGAGAATGGTTAAGAGAGAATACACACAGCTTCAGTGAGCAAAAAACAAACAGAAGATGAAGTAAAATGAAAAATAAAAACATTAATTAAATGTGTTAAACTTTGAGGGGTGGGATCGGTTTCTAAAATTTGTGTTTCAGTAATAACTGAACACCAGGAGGTGAACATATGAGATTTTCTCAGTAGTTTTAGTTTATTTCTTCACTGTGGCAACCTGAAGGAAACAGGAAACAGCAAGTTAAGAAAGTGTTTCTTACCTTTCCTCACGTTTCATAAGGTCAAAGGCGCTATTGATCTGACTCAGAGGGAGGTTGTGAGTGATAAATTCATCCAGCATCAGTTTCTTCTCCATGTATTTCTCCACCAGTTTAGGAACATCCTTTGCACTCTTCCAACCTTCACAGCAAAATAAGCTCGGTAAGGAGAAACGCTTGTTTCAACACATATTCACACCCTCTGGATGCTTTTTTTTAATTTTTATTTCATTGTTTCACATTTTCTGGCATTATAACCTCAGTCAAATATTTGCAGTTCTATTCAACTGTTCTGTAGAGTCCTTATTTAAAGATTACAAGAGAACATACTAAAGGTAATGATGATCAATTTTATAAAAGATTTATAGTAAGCCTTTTATTCTTTGCTTGGCATTAACATATTTTTCTAATCAATGAAATCAGACCTGTAATCATGTTAAAGTGGCCGGTGACATTAAATTATTATAAGCAGCTGCTAGATGCCATAGACTTATATACTACAGAGTCGTCATGCTGACTGATACAATCTGGGCTGTTCTTCTGATTTTAAATATGAGTGCTGTATTTCTAAAGATAGTTTTCTGTTTGGAGATAATAAAATGACCAACGCAGATGTTGAGGATGTTTAAAGCAGGATTAGGTTCTTAAACTCTAGCCAAGATTTGAACCTTTGTCAGAGTTCTTTTCAATCCGTCAACTGAAGCTGAAAAGGGTACAGGCATAAGGTATAAACCAACAGGCTGGAAAAGGAGCCAAGAGGGCTTTTGCTACTCTGGGGAGCTGCAGAGATCAAGAGCTCTGGGGCCAAAGTTTAGAGTGTGGGTTAATTATATATGTCAATAAATCCTGATGAAGCTTACCTATTACATAGATTACAGGCATGTCTTGAAGACATACAACCTGGATCACTCTAAACATTCTACTTTTGAATGCAGTCACTTCATTTACATGGGATTAAAATAATGTTTTGTTTTTTTATCTTATCAGGACATGTCCTTAACATCCCACATTAAATAAGTTTGTAGAATGTCATTCTTTCATCTCTGAAATATTGCAAAAATTTGAAATATCTTATCAGGGGATGATGCTGAGAAACGAGTCCATGCAGTTGTTACTTCAAGGCTGGACTATTGCAATTTTTTTAACCATCAGGTAGTCAACAGACTGTAGTTAAAAGCCTTCAGCTGATTGAAAATGCTGCAGCCAGAGTTCTGATAAAATTTAAAAAGAGAGATCATATCTCTCCTATTTTAGCTTCCCTTCATTGGCTTCCTGTTAAATCAAGAGCAGAGCAGAGTTTGTCACGTATTAAGCCTTAAATGGCCACGCTTCATCTTATATAAGAGATATGATCATTTCTTATGTTTCTAAGAGAAGTCTTCACTCCCAATCTACAGGTTTACTAGTGGTTCCTAGAATTTCTAAAAGGAGAAAGGGAGGTAGATCTTTTAGTTATCAGTTTCCTCTCCTATGGAACCAACTACCAGTTTTAGTCCATGAGGCAGACACTGTGTCCAATTTTAAGTGATGTTTGCTTACTGGTTGGGTGAGTAGAGAGGTAGAGCGTTAACAAGCCGATCCGGCGCGGGGAAATTTCAGTCTGGAGAGTCATTTCTCCTTGGATCTAGTTTGGCCCTACATCCAATGGCATAACTGTTGGTAAGCAGAGACTGCAGTTGTTTTGGGGCCCCCAACCTCTTAGGGGCCCCATCACTGACACCTGGTAGCCCCCCTTTGCAATTGTGGACTAGGACATCACTTTGCAGATGTAATGGTGCGAACAATTCCTCTTTAACCCACCTGATACTAGATTAACGGAAAAAAACTTCCCAAAATAGGTGGACACTGCTGTAACAGTGAGTAAAGATTGCTACCAGTGGATGAATGGAGAGAGCGAGGGTGAAGATGGGGGCTGTGAAACTCAAGGTAGCCCGATAACATTTATTCATGTGAGGTGTTTTACTTCATATGAGGCCCATCCAGATAATGCTGCTTACGGGCCTTTTGTTGTGTCGTTATGGCATTGCTACCATCCAAAATAGGCAGTTATCCTGAGCTATTTTCTACATTGATGATGCTACAGGCTTAGACTGCTGGAGGACATAGGGACCACTTTTCCTGGTTCTGCATTTGTTAAGTTCCACTCATAACTTTTTGTTCATTTTGATTTTTCCTGTGATAGTAGCTATATCTGGTCTGTTCCTGTTTGGCTGTGACTCCATCCTGGATTAAAAATATCAACTGTACTGCTGCAATCAACACCTTTGTTTACAGCGGTTTGAGCTTGGCCTGTTTTTCGGTGTAGTGTACTCCTGCTTTTTTTTTTACTGTGCCTAACTGTATGTGCTCTCTTTTTTCCTTTGTAAAGAAAATTGGCTCGGAGCTCGACTGCCTGGCTGTGTGTTTCCTGGATGGGACTGCCTGCTGAGATGTTTAACAGTTACCTTTTGTATCTCTGCTTCTTTCTGCATGTCTGCTTCTATCTGTTTCAACTAGAGATGTCCCGATCCAGGTTTTTGCACTTCTGATCCGATACCGATATTGTTTTTGGACTTCCGATCCAATACCGATACTGGCCGATACCAGCCTATCCGAGCATGTATTTAAGTTTAAGTTAAAGTATTTAGCCTTAGTTGTAAGACTCATGTTGAAAAGGGTTTTAGTACTCTTGATAACATCTAGCCAGCTAAATTAGGTGAGATTGAATAAAACACAATGCTTGGTAACAACAAACTTATCTGTTTATTAAGAGATAAACACAAACTGGACAAAATTATGAATAGCAATCTGAAATTGCACAGTGAACAGTAAAACCGTAAACAGTTAAAGGTGCAAGTATTACTGTAAGTTTTAATAAAAATGCAAAACAGGGGAACACTGGCCTAAAATAGATGAATGGATCGTTTCAATCGGCGAAACTGGAAAATACGGACCGGATTTTTTTTTAAAAACTGGATCGGCAGTCTGGATCGGCATTTTACATGCTTTGCCGATACGCATTTTTTTGCCAATATCGGCGTCCCGATCCGATACGTGGATCGGATCGGGACAAGCCTAGTTTCAACCTCAGTCGGCCTTGGCAGGTGGCCTCTTTTATCTCACTTATTGAGATTAAACTTTATGATGGAAATTTAAAAAAACAAATACCTCCAAAATAAGTCCCCTTCAAGGTGCGCCCCATCAGGATGTTTATGACCTGGACATGCATTGTTTCGGTCTCTGTCCATCCAGCGAAGACACATGTTCCACAGCCCTCTGTTGTAGACTCTAGTGCAGCACTCTGGGGAGAGTAGGATGTTTCACTTGAGCCTTTTTTTTTATAATCTATGCAGAAAATTCAAACATTATTATTTTTCAGATGTGAAGAAAAGAAATGAAACCCACCATGCTATCTGGTTCGCCAACGCACTCCAGGGCGTAATCCACCCCACCATTGGTTTTATCTACCAGAACCTCCTGGATGGGCTTGTCATGATCATTTAGGTCGATACATTCAGTGGCTCCAAACTGTTTGGCCTTTTCAAACTTTGCACGGTTGATATCGATCGCAATTATGCTTTTGGCCATGGCAGCCTTACAACCCATGACAGCAGCCAGTCCCACTGCATCAAGCCCAAAAACGGCACATGTGGAATCCTTCGCAACCTGGAAAAACAGACAGAGGGAGTACTTTATTGTTTGCTACAGAAATAAACAGAACATTTATGTCACTGTCAATTCTTCTAAACAGTTTTCTAAAAAATAAAAAAGGTTTTGAGGGGGTTGCTGCCATCTAGTGGAGGTACCTTTTAATAACAACACAATGGGTCTAATGAAATATTTCACTCAGATTTATATTGTGGTTCTTGTATCTCTCTCTACAACAGTGGTGTCAAAAGTACAGACATTTGTTAATTAAGTAGAAGTATAGATACTGCAGTTTAAAAACACTCTGGTAGAAGTTGAAGTATCAATTTGACCTCTTTACTCAAGTAAATGTGAAAAAGTATGTGCTCCAAAAACTACTTTAAGCATAAAAGTATAAAGTAACCTCTAAAAAAAACAATCAGATGCCGCTATATGAAATGAAAGCTCAGTGTTTAGACTATTTTGAAAAATTCTTTGAGATAGGGCCAAGGATGAGGGAGGTCTTGTTGGTCTCCATCTCCTGATACGCTCTCGCTTATGTCCGACCTTTCAGACATTTTGACTTCTTGTTCTGAATGCGACATTGTAGCATGGCATAGACAATTCACGTTTGCAGTTTGAAGAACAACTGCTTGCTTCTGATGATTTCCTTTAGCTAAACAATGAGTGTTTGTGTTATATGACTCATCCTGTTACACTAGTTTTCACTAGATGTGGATGGCACCAATGATCTGCATTGGATGGCACATATGATGTAAAATAAATATTTATAAACATTAAACCAAAGCCAAGAGTAATGAGTAACAAAATAATTAATGGAGTAAAGTATAGATAGCTAAAAAGTGTACTTAAGTACACCTAGGAAGGAAGGAAGGAAGGAAGGAAGGAAGGAAGGAAGGAAGGAAGGAAGGAAGGAAGGAAGGAAGGAAGGAAGGAAGGAAGGAAGGAAGGAAGGAAGGAAGGAAGGAAGGAAGGAAGGAAGGAAGGAAGGAAGGAAGGAAGGAAATTATTTAATTGAAACTATCGCTCACCTTTCCCGTTTGAAGAGCTGCACCATAACCTGTTGAGACGCTGCAGCCCAGCAGGCAGACTTTGTCCAGGGGAGCATCGGAATTGATCTTTGCTAGAGATGTGTCTGGAACCACAGTGTACTGACAGAAGGAACTGACTCCAAGGAACTGGTAGACCTGCTGACCTTTGCAAGAAATTCTGCTTGTGCCATCAGCCAAAACTCCTGCTTGAGTGTTTTCCCTAAGAGACATTGTGATCACAGCGTGATTAAACTCAACACTGTGATGGCAACTCAATGAATTAGACAACAAGTGACTCACCAGTTCTTCCTGCAGAAGTTTGTTTTGGGATTTTCACATCTGTCACACGCATCACAAAATGGCAGAAAAAGAGGAATCACTTTATCACCTGAGAGAAAAAACAAATGCAAAACATGCATCTAAACATGAGTCATGGACTTAAACGTTAAAGGAGAAACCAATCAAATTTGAACTCTGATGTTTGTAAGTTTTACTGTTAAAAATAACCTGGTGCAAACTGAGTCACTTCAGGGCCAACACTCTCCACTATGCCTGCAGCTTCATGGCCCAGAACTAAAGGGAATGTTCGGAGTTTCATCCCTTTCCCAGCCTCATACAGATATTCCCTGTCTGTGTGACACACGCCTGTGGCAACAACCTATGCAAAACAACACCACATTGTGTCAGGCTGCAGTTTCAGAAACAGGAAGCTGATGGTTTGCACACGAGCTCCACAAAGAGGAAACGACACAACTTATCTTTTCGATTAATATCATGACATACTGTGAAACTGAAAAAGATTAAAATATCTATATGTGGAGAACCTTGATCCGAACTTCATGAGCCTTAGGCGGGGCAACATCCACTTCTTCCACAGAGAGAGGCTTACTGGGCTCCCAAGCAACAGCTGCTTTGCACTTAATTACCTGGAAAAATGCAAGTTAGTAAAAAAAAAGTAATCTCTTCAAGAAATAAACGCTATAATTGGATTCTGAAACTAGACGAGGAACTTCCAGAACCTGTTTTTTTAGATTTCTGGGCAACCATTAGTCAGCTCTAGCTTAGAATTCAAAAAGCATGTACAGTCAAAGCTGAACATAATTTTCAACTTTAATTACAGACTTGTTGAAGAGCAACTTAGATGCAAATTAGAAGATATACACAAAGATCAAACATGAGCTGACTATTTTCAGTCTGCAGATATATTGTAGTTTTAGTTAGAATTATATTCTATTCCCTCTAGATAGATAACAAATAAAATAAAACAATATTAAGAAAGCTTTGCTGCTTTGCATCAGAGAAAAAAATATGCCAAACATAGAATGAATGTTCAACTTTGCACCACAACCATACCAACACCAATAATGACCATGAGGCGTTAACACTGTTTTATTTGGCACTATGCAAAGTTCTCTGCTCTTTTGGGTCAGAAGGTAAAACTAAAAATAAAATAAAAAACTGGATAACTTAACTGTGTTCTTGGCAGGTAAACTCGTCCTTGTTTAATCTGTCACAAGTTCATTACTGTTATAACACCCGAATCGGAAGCAAAACTCAGTCTTTTATTTATCTTACCTTTCCAGCAGTTGCCATTGTTGCGTTTAAGAGAGAAAAACCGTAAATTCAAGCAGTGACGCGCATCAGATGCTTTATGAAGGGTGTGTCCACTCATATGAACAATAACCCAGGGCGAGTTTACGACACAGTATTTATATTTAGTGTCCGATCCACTCTCCTTTCCAGTAGGTGGCGGTAATGCACATCAATAAGTTGCTTGCCAAACGTCTAAAAGAAGAAGAAGAAGTTTACGACACAAACTTGAATGTCATAAATATGAAACCATATATGAAAATATATGAGGAGAGAGTTTGGATGTATTAAGGAAAATATTAATTTCTTAGATATTTGGAGGAAGAAATTGGGTAGGAAACATATACAAATAAAGAAAACTAAATTATTGCATATAATTTAATTATGGAGAGGGTGAATACAAAGTTATATATCAGTATGTGTATTTTTTTTTTTATTAGAAATTATATATATATATATATATATATATATATATATATATATATATATATATATATATATATATATATATATATATATATATATATATATATATATATATATATATATATATATATATATATATATATATATATACACTCCATCACGAACCACTCTCCATACCAATAAGTGGCGGTAATGCCACTAAATGTTTGTTGCGAACCGCCAATAAATCCAACAAGAAGAAGAAGAAGCTTACGACACTTTCCAAATGTTTACGACAGTTCCTGATCACCACACGTGCAGTCGCATGGAGATTGGAGTCTCCGGTGCACTTAGCTAGCTGTACTAGTAAGTATGTTATTGATGTAATTTGAACCTGTTGTAACTTCTACGTTAATATCACATATATTCTACTTTATACACAATTGTTTGTGTTTTGGGTGAATATGAAGCTAACTAGTTAGCTTATGTAGCAACGCTGGTGTTAGCTGGCTTGAAGTCCACATGTTATACCGCTGAACAAAAGTTTCGTTTTGCTTTATGCATCTTTCGCGTCTTGTTTTTTTATATTTCAGAGTTTTTAAGGCAAAGATGTCGTTCAGAGGTGGAGGTGGACGCGGCGGAGGTTTTAACAGAGGTGGAGGCCGAGGTGGAGGCTTTAGAGGCGGTGGAGGATTCGGCCGAGGTGGTGGAAGAGGAGGGTTCAACAGACAGCAAGACTACGGCCCTCCTGAGCGCGTTGTTGGTAAGATCATTAAGACAGACGATGGTTGCAGCCTCTTAACATGATATTTATTTTTTTTAGCAGATAAATCGTTGACATGCAGCCACCGTGTTTGTAGGTTACACAGTTTCTAACAGGCAGCTGCAGCTTTTCTAAAGCTTGAATAATGGGCTGATTATGGTTGTTTGGGACCCAGCATGGTCTGGTTCATAGCCGCATTGATGGCTTATTTAAAGTAACTTTAACTAGCCTGTTCAAACACACACTGAAAGTTGCACTGTGATACAAAGCTTACAGAAAGCAACATGCGTATAACATTAAAGCAGATGTGGGTAAGTTCCCCATCAGAAGAAGAGTAACACTACTTTTTTTACTTTTAAAAAGTATGAAAAAATTACTCAAGACAAAAAAAGTACCTGTTAAAATAGCTACTCTAATGCAGTGTAAATTTTGGTTAGAAACATCAGATCTGATGTCTTAATTTAATGAGATCAGACTAAATATTAAGTGTAATTTGTGGTCTTTCAAGCTATGAAATTTGTAATGAACAATGTATCACATTCCAGCAGAAGAAGCTCTTTCCCCGTTCATTTTTCTAAAACAAACTTATTAAAACAGCCTCTAAGATAAAAGCATTGTCAGGAAAGCCTTTCCAGCTATAATGATTTTGTACTGTAAATTTACCTGATCTTCAAGAAGCTCTTTTTTATGGTTTTTCAATTGTTGCACGCAGCTGCAGCTCACACTGTATGACCGTCGTACAGTGTGAGTTCACCGCTCACGATGCATGTGCAGCACGACGCTCTGATTCGATCTACCTGCTCACACTGTACGTCTAAAAACCACGTCTGTCTCGGCTCCACAGTGAGATGGCGCTACACTGACTCGTCTATCCTGAAGCCAGACAAATAAAGGGGAATATGAAGCTCACTTGAGTGAAACGCGCTGCCTTGGCAATTTGTGTAATTTTGTGCTGAAAGCCCTAAAAAGAAAAGGAGCTACTACGGTCTGTCAATTTGACAGAAAGAACTCCATCTCACTCGCACCCCCGCCATGCTTCTGTGTTTACATCTGAGAGGAGGAGGAGGAGGATGTTTGCACATGCCCACTGAGCGATTTGGCCACGACTGTCAGGTGAAAATCAAACATGTTTGATTTTTTTTCACGATTCCTGATGGCTGATTGCCCCTCGTTACCCCCTGTACACTACACGACTCACGATCATGCTGAAAGTCGGCCGGATCAAAAAATTCTAGCACAGCTAGAAAATCGCCCCGAAAAGGGCAAAAAATTGGACGGTGTACGCCCGGCTGTAAACCAACTGCAAGTAAAAGTAGCGATGCTCTCACAGCAATATAGTAAAAAGTACAGTAAAGTCCAACTACTGCTGAAAGGGTTTTTCTTCCAAAAAGTCCTCGGGGAAAGTGGTCCCTTTTTATAAACATCTCCGTAATTTATGGAAGTACACTCCTTCATGGAATCATAACATGAAGAAGATGAGTTTTGATAATAGATTTATTTTGTCAATAATTACCATTAGGGTTTTTTGTTTTAAAGTTGAGAATTGATAAAGGTCAACAGGATTGGCATTTTCCAGTCTTTTCTTGGTTCATGTTTATTTTTGTTGGTGAAAAGTTTTTATTAACTTTTGTGTATTTTTCTTTTAAACCTGCTTGGTCTTACGTTGTGGCCTGTTGGTCTAAACTAATATAATTTGCTTGTAAATATCTTTGGGAGTTTAAGAAGTCTGAATGGCACATGAATAAACTTGGCAGAATTTAAGATATGTTGATTTATTTAATTTGGTAAGCCAATTGTTGCCTCTAGTCACCTTTTATGGATGTTTTCATGGTTTATTTAAAGCATTTTTATGTTAGAATGGCCTAGATAAAGTACACTAACAACCAATTATAGATTGGGGTAAGACACAAAAACTGACGTTTAGACTAGGGCTAAAACAATTAATCGGGTTAATCATGATCAATCGATTATTGTAATAGACATCAACTAATTTAGTAATCGATTATTAACTGGAGTTTAAAATATGCCTTTAGGTGACAGATCAACCAACCCTTGGAATCGACAGAAATTCGATTTCCAAAATAATCATTACCGTATTTTCACGACCATAAGGCGCACCGGACTAAAAGGCGCACTCTCAGTTATGTGTCCCATTTCTGTATTTAACACACACATAAGGCGCACCGGACTATAGGGCGCGTTTTTTATATACAGGTACATGTCCTCTACTACCTTTAAATACCTCTACTGCGTATTTAAAAATACAGCGGGGGCAAAACTGAGTATGACTGTGCTTTATTCATGTATTTATTACAAAGTATTAATCAAACCTGTGAGCTGGCCGTGAGACAGACACATCGCAGATGACACAGCGCTGTGGTCACTCCTAAATTAACTTAAAATCCTGAAACCTGCTGACGGAATATGTTCGCTTTTATTACCGGTATCCTGGTGCCTGCAGCTAAAATTATTTAGATGAAAAACACCTGCCAGCAGCCGCGGTGAACCCCAGGCTGCCCAGCCTACAGGCTGCTGATGAAGAGATTTCTGCTGTCAGCGCACCGCTGGTATGTGGGGGTCTGAGCGCCTCCGACAGAAATGGATAATCTGGATGAACTGACTGCAATTATTAAGTTTTCAGGTGGACTTTCTCACTTAAAAACATATTAAAACTACTTTATTCCCACTGATCACAGCAAATATAGCTGCAAGATTTAGATTATTTAGATGAAAAAACACCTGCCAGCAGCCGCGGTGAACGAAAGGATTTCTCCTGTCGGCGCACCGCTGGTATGTGGGGGTCTGAGCGCCTCCGACAGAAATAGATAATCTGGATGAACTGACTGCAATTATTAAGTTTTCAGGTGGACTTTCTCACTTAAAAACATATTAAAACTACTTTATTCCCACTGATCACAGCAAATATAGCTGCAAGATTTAGATTATTTAGATGAAAAAACACCTGCCAGCCACCGCGATGAAGAGGGGGAGACGCGCCGGGGATGCTGTTGAATTAAGTTTTCAGGGAGAAAAATACAGCGGGAGCAAAACTGAGTATGATTGTGCTTTATTCATGTATTTATTACAAAGTATTAATCAAACCCATCAAAGTCATCATCCTCTGTTTCTGAATAAAACAGCTGCGCTAAATCAGACATGCCAGTTTCCCCTTCTTCGCTGTCAGTCACTTTCCGTGCAGCGCGGCTCCTCAGAAATAATGCCGGCTTTTGCGAAAGCTTGAACAACAGAGCCAGCAGACACTTTAGTCCAAGCATCTACAATCCATCCGCAAACTGTGGCGTAATCTGCCCGGCGCTGCCTTCTTATCCTGAAACTGTGGTCTCCGTCGGTCATCCATCGCTCCCACGCCGCTCGCAGCCTTACTTCGAACGGCTGCTTCACACCGATGTCGAGCGGTTGAAGCTCCTTTGTCAGACCCCCCGGATAACGGCGAGCACAGCGTTCATTTGATTCACCTTTTTTTCACATCGGCTGTGAGATGGGCACACAGCGATGGTGATGCGTGGAAAAAACCACCTAGTCTTCTCACATACACCTGCCTCAGCCACGCATCCATCCAGCCTTTTCCATTTGCGTTAATATCATATGTCATCAGAGCGCTGTCTGTCTCGCTGGCAGCTCCCAGATCAGCTTCTCTGATTGGTTGATGCGGTGCGTCCAGCAGCAAAACTTCAATTTTTCCATCTCGAGCAGCAGAAGCGCGTTGGCGGCGCTTCAGATGCTTAAACGCTCCCGACGTGCTGCACCAAAATGCGCTGCGGGACCTTTTGCTGCACCTATATGCGCGTCAACCATTGACTTTGCATGTAAACACGCTGCTTCTGCTGCACC